GGGGGGGGGGGAAATTTGGGGGAGTCTCAACTCTGGGCAGTCAGGTTTGGGGGTCCCACAATGGGGGGGGGTCTCATTTTTGGGGTGAGATGTCAGATTTTAGGGTTCAAAATTTGGAGAGATTGTGGGAATAGGGTTCGGATTTTGGGGGGATTATGTGAATTTGGGGGGGTTGCTCAGGTTTTGGGGCGTCACTCAACTTGGGGAATCGGGTTTGAGGGTCCCATAATGAAGGTCTCATTTTTGAGGGGGGATGTCAGATTTTAAGGTTCCCATTTTTGGGGTGGACACGGGGGTTGGGGGGGCTCAGTCTTGGGGTCGAACTTTTGGGGGAGGCGGTCACACGATTTGGGGGACAATTTGGGAGGCCTCATGATTTGGGGAGGGGGTCTGACATTCCCAAAATACACACAAACACACACCCAGGCAGGACCCCCCAAATTCCCCCAAAATCCAGTGCAAGGACTTACTGTGGCCATGGCAGCACTAAGGAAACGAAGCACCCCAGGGCTCTTTTTTGGTCATTTTTCTCACCATTTTCCCTTTTTTACTCACTTTTCCCCTCAGGTTTCCCACCATTTTTCCTCTCACACTTCCCGTCCTTCTGTCCCTTCACATTTCCCATCATTTCTGGCCTCATGTTGTTTAGTTTTTTTCCCTTTAACACCCATTTTCCTTCCTGTTTCCTGTCTTTTCCCCTCACGTTTCCTTCCCTTTCCTCCCCTCATGTTTCCCACCTTTTCTTCTGCTTATTTCCCATCCTTTTCACTCGTTTATGATCTTTTTTACCTTCCATTTCCAGCCTTTTCCCCTCATGTTTCACACCTTTTTTCCCCCTCCCATTTCCCGCCTTTTCTCCCCTCACATTTCCCCCCTCACATTTTCCACCATTTTCTCTCCTTGTTTCCTACCTTTTCTTCCTTTCATTTCCCGTTCCTTTTCTCTCGTTTACTGTCCTTTTTGCCTTCCATTTCCTGCCTTTTCCTCCCCTCACGATTCCAGCCCTTTTTTCCCTTCATGATCCCCACCATTTTGTCCCCTCAAGTTTCCTGCCCTTTTCTCCCCTCAAGTTCCCTTCCCTTCTGTTTCCTACCTTTTCTTCCTCTCATTTCCCGTCCTTTTCATTCAAATTTACTGTCCTTTTTGCCTTCCATTTCCTGCCCTTTTCTCCCTTCACGATCCCCACCATTTTGTCCCCTC